ACCTGATGGACAAATCTTTCTGCGTGTATAATGTCTGTCTAGTCCATATAAATTTAAACATCATAACTTTATCGAGATGAACTGTGTCTTAATAACCGTTCTGCTCATAACTGATGTTTGAATATTGTGTCTGAAGTGTAATGCTAGTCAAGTACCTGCTAACGTCATTTTCATTGTAACAAGGCAACAAATAATTTTCTCTCGGTTATCTTTATAAGTCTCGTTCGTGCCGTGGTAGTGTTAGCGACAGCGCAAGCTTGCCACAGTTACACAGCACGTGTCTGCTGCGTTGCAAGTAACGGGGCCTACGCACTGCTGTACAAATAGGCTAGCTCTATGTTGGGCCGAAGCCGGACTCGGCTGTTGTGCCTACTCCTACGGGGACAGTCTTCCTGTTACTCCTCATAAAAGGCAAAGTATGTACCAAGGTCTTCGCACCGCTACACAGACGTGACGTCCTAGCATGCGTTCATTCGTAGATGGACAGTTAGTATAGTTAGTTATTTTAGTTATTTCGGCGCTGAATACATCGGACCATGGTCTATAAACGATTCTTGTATTTTTCGCGACTTGTTTACGGGAGATCTAAAAACTGAACTTTTTACCAAATCTTTTCAAACCCGGCGTCGGTTTGAAGTATCTGCTGGACATAAATAAGGCCCGTTAGGTCCATTTGTTAATCGTACGGTTTCATGATTATCGTCCGGCGAGTCGTCATAAAAGGCAAAGCAGGTACCGAGGTCTTCGCACCGCTACGCAGACTCGGCGTCTTGGCAAGCGTGCCTACGTAGGCTGACAGTTGTCCGGCAACACTTCATAGTAAGGCGAGGAAAGTAGCCTATTTGCGGTAGCCACTTCGCCGCCTCATTCTAAGCCGGCGGCTGTTGGCGTCAAGCCCATTGTACCCAACCAGTTATACGCTCATCTCTCCTGGGTATTCAGTTGCGTACGTAGAAGTGCGTTTCATGTTCGCGCCACTGAATTGTACTGGCTTTGGGACGAAAACATTATCTGACGTTTCAACACCAGAAGCGTCACAAATTTAATGTAATAATACCATAATACATTTCATTGATAATTTCTATCGGCAAAATTTGATTGTGATAATGAGAGCCAGCCAGCATAATTTTATAATGAAAAATATCATAGAATTAATATTGTTGAAATCGTTCGTATTTTCTTCAGTGTTGTATTCTTGCTTTGAAAAATGTGAACGATGTCCATCCGAATTACTCTAAACGTCGTACCTAGATCGCTGTATTTATGAATCCCGGTATTGAGGATACATCAATGTATACATTGACGTTAACGTCAATGTATTCAGGTAATTCATGGTCCCTCTATGGCTATAATTTTTTATTGTGCCTCCAATGATATGCAATGTGACTTCGTTGAGATATGACGCTTGCAAATTTGAACGATGGTTCCAATGTTAGTTGGAGAAATTTGACTCAAGTGGGCTCTTTTTACCAGTGGTCAGGCAGCTCGTCGTCATGCGTTTACCATTTGAAGGAAGATTCTCTTTGATATTCTCCTGACAAACACTACGTGACAGGAGCTGCGCATTTATTTCAGGATTATTTTAACTGATGTTTGATTTGAGGTCTTATATTTGAGTTTTATAATATTATAATTTTGGATGGGATCTATAGAGATCATGTGTGTTCTGGGTACATGTTTGTCATGCGAGAGTTGCGTTGAAACCAAACGTGTAAAATATATGGGAATACGAAGCAAACTAACCGCCTGAGCAGCTTCTTAGTGGGTTAAAAATAATTGATTATTTCCCTTCCCTTGTATTTACATATGATCTTTAATTTTTGACCATTAGTTTGGCGTTTATAGAATAATATTAAAAGATTTAGCTTCCTAAGTATTTGTTAAGCGAGAACTTAATCAATTGAATAGCTCGCGCTGTTTTCTATGAATCAATTTAGACGACCTCTACAAAAGAAATGAAAAAATCTCAAACGATGAATTTTGATGTCACAGCCGCTGCTTTGGTCCCAAAGATTATTGCAGGATATCCAACCTGTAGATCCTGGTGAAGCCAACGTTGCAGTTGCGTGAGTTGGCTACACCAAGTATGTGCATGACGTTGTGGTAAGCAGGAAGTGTTGTGGCGTCAGCGTAAAGTCCGTCTTAGGTGCTCCGGATGTCGGCATATCTTGGTAATTCCTAGTTAAACTCACGAATATGATTACATATTTTCATATATTTTCTTATCTTAACATATCTGATTGGAAACCAGGGAAATTGACGCTTTGGGGCTCGTTTGCTTGGCCAGCTTCGGGTCTCGGTTTTTCTCCGCTACCTCAACTAAGCCTAAGATTGTATTGAGAAACCATAAGCCAACCTGAACGAACTCGGTTTCCCATTATCTACTAGTTTCTTTATTATTATCTTCGCGTATGTAATGGAAGACGTTATTATTTCCTAATGAAATATGTGGTCGAGTTCATATCGGAAGTTTTTTGCTGTAAATTTAATTTCAAAAGTTGATAGAATATTATTATCCCTCTTTTGATTGGAAGGCGAGTACATTTTGGGACGATTTTTATGCATGTGAAATCATAATAACAGAATTGACAGGATTTGATTGTTATCTCGTGTTATTTATGCCGTAGTTGGCTCACACCAAACCTGTTTCGATGGCAAAGAGACCGGATGAGACCGATCTATAGGCTTCTATAGGGGTCGTTTTCATGTGAGTTAATTTACCAACTTTCTGGAGTTTAAATATAACTTTGTGCGGAACAAACCACACACTTAATTAATTATCTATCTCTAATCAATCAGCAAACTACTTGGTGGTATTTTGATTATGTAATCGCCGCTTCATTTAATGCCTAAGCCTCGCCTTAGGCATTAGGCCTCGTTGTCTGCTTTGATAATGCGAGGAAGATTGAAGTCAATGCATTTAACGATTTAGTGATCGTATAATTCATATTCTTGTCATAACTTGGATCCAATACCCTGTTCACCATTAGATATGAGGGTGACCACTGTCCAATCGTCCGAGCAAGCTTTATTAGTTTTATTCAGGCTTTATCGCAGTGAGATAACACCTGAATGATTACATTATGATCTGACACAAGGAGTGACGTGGCGGTCTTGAGTAAATGTGTTGATAAAACTTATCATTTGCTTGTGAGTTGGCCGTGTGGCAAATGGGATCGCAGTTGTCAGGTCTGCGGCAACTGTGTCGCAGTTGCTACAACGTTGGTTGTGTGTTTCTTAGCTGCGCTCAATTCTATCCAGCCACCTGCTCCGTGTGTCCGGTTATCTCGACGCTCAATCTATGCTTCTACAGTTATTCTTTTTACAATAAATCATATCGGAATTCGATAAGATTCTGTTTAGTTTATACGCCTGCTAGGTTTCGGTCACTCACTTAATATTTTTGTATTCCGTGAAGAAGACTGCAGTTGTTGAAGTCATTTTAATTCCGTACTGGTATTCAGACTATGCAAACTGATTGACTGTAAGTCTCGTGCTCGAACACTTGTATTGATCCTTCTCATTCGGGCACGCGGTCAGGCCGTGCGACGTCGTCCCTTGAGCTGGCTTAAGGTTGGGTATAGTGAGTCCTATAGTCTCGCTCTGTATTGGGGTCGCCTCGTCAACGAACGCTCAGCATGGTGACTGTGTAACGGTGCCGCTTAGATGAGTGGTGAGAGCCGCCGCACTTACTTGCATTGTAGGATTCCAATTCTAGGGAAATCGAGAGTAGTTCCACAATTCTTCGCTAGTCATAGTATCAGTTTCACGTATCTCTTTCATTTAAGATTTCCATTCCTATAAAGTTAATTTAAATGATTATAATTTATTGAACGATTTTTTTGTGAATAGTTCAGATTATTTAAATTTAGGTTTATTTGAGAACAATTTCAGCCAGATAATTACTAGCATATAGTGTGAAAGCGGTCTTTTACGGTCACCGCTTGCCTGTCGTTTATGCCGCTGAGCATGCGTTCAGTGGATTAGTTCTTGTGGGGTACTTTGGTGGACCGTAGTAGGGTGCTAGTGACCAATTATTGTAGAAGAGTTGGCATTTCACCCGTACAGGGGACTATATAAGCATTTTCATGCGTTCAATTACTCCAGGATAGGAAAAGCATTTGCCTATGTGTATTGTGTGAACTTATTATTGGTTAAGCAGTTCGATACCTACATTCGAGTCCACTAAAAAATGTTGTTAAACTTTTTTTAATAAACGGCTTGANTGGTGGACAACCATTACTCTCTGGGCTATTCGCTTCAGAACGTGGTGGCGTAAAGCTCCTAATATTTAAAGCAGTAGACATCGTGGGATGTCCGATGAGAGGATTGTATTACTAATATTGATATCAAGATATGAGGGTGATTAGGATTTTCTGGTTACCGACGGATTGCTTAATCCGCGGCTGATTGGTGGTCATCCGGAAACATGCTAGGCGTTCCTTTCAAGGCTGATTGGTGCCTATATTTGGTGGTGCACGGCTGCGTACCCGTCGCTGACAGGCATCCACGTCGCCTTGGCGAACAGTAGGACGTATTTCTGTCCGAAAATGATTTTTCGTTGTGCTTCTGATGATTAGCTCTTGAATAAGTTTGCAATCTTTTTCAAAATTTAAACTAAAACCGAGTCTGAATAACGCTTATAATTCTTAGGAACCTAAAAAGTCGTCTTTTAAATTCATTTGTAACTAATAGTATTTGTATTTTTAACTTTATATATAGTTTTAATCTAACTAATATACTTTTATTCGTGACGTTTGATAAATACTGGTCACCTAAACCGTTTTTTCGACAAACCTAAATTTTGTTGGATTGAATTTTGCTTTTGAATTCTTGCTTCGTTTAAGATTTGAATAAATAAATTGCTGATAGTTTTCCTATAATATTAATGACAAGTTATCATGTTGCCGCTAGATCAATTCTTTCAATAGACTTGTGATATACGAAAGTGAAATCGAAAGTAGTCGGAATACCTTGGCGTCTATACTTTTCATTCGACCATATTCATTGTCTCCTGGCGAGCCTCAGCTGTTGTCCTTCGTCGTTCTCGTTTATGTTTTATGTCTTTCCTACAGGATCCGGAAATATCTGCAGTGTGATAACCCTCTTGCGGGGCAAATAGTTTAGAAATATGGAATCGCATAATAAACCTGTGGATGGAATCGAAGAAGTTGTGTGTTACGAATTTAGTGATCAACCTAGTACAAGCCGCGGACATACGCGGCGTAGACCTGTGAGATCTAATGATTCTGTTGACCCTAAACTGGAACTGGTCCCTGATTTGGAACTTTTTTCCGAGTTGAAAGATGTTTTAGCTGTAGAAGATTCGCTGGATGAAGAGAGTGAAGGATGTCCTCTTCCTGGAACTCCTGAGACAGAATCTCTGATGGACCCAAAGGTAGGCTAGTACTTGATTAAATAAAAGTTGAATTACGAGTTCCAACGACCAACATTGCTGTTGATTATAGGCTGAGCTGAGATAACACTATGCCCATAAATGAGATAGAATTGCCTGGGCTTATAGTAAATTTCTTCCATTAATATGGCCTTTGTCTAATTTTTTCATTAAAAAATAAAAATGAAGTATTTTTGCCTGCAATATTTCTTTTTATTATTTTCAATAACATTATAGTTTTATCTGCTGCATAATCTGCAATACTTGATAAATTTTGTCATATATTTCAGATTGGTTAGTGACAATGTGGCCAGTGGCCACATGCTAGGGTAAACGCGCATGGTGCCAATCCATAGGTTATTCAAAAGAACCTGTTCTTATGTCATTTTGAACCGATCAACACTTCTTTATGGACCGATCGTATAACACCTGTCTCTTATACACATCTAGATGTGTATAAGAGACAGGTCTCGTGCTCGAACACTTGTATTGATCCTTCTCATTCGGGCACGCGGTCAGGCCGTGCGACGTCGTCCCTTGAGCTGGCTTAAGATTGGGTATAGTGAGTCCTATAGTCTCGCTCTGTATTGGGGTCGCCTCGTCAACGAACGCTCAGCATGGTGACTGTGTAACGGTGCCGCTTAGATGAGTGGTGAGAGCCGCCGCACTTACTTGCATTGTAGGATTCCNTATTTGGTATGAGATCTGTCTCTTATACACATCTAGATGTGTATAAGAGACAGTTGCTGACGCGTAGTGAAGTGTTTTGAGAGTCATGTGAAGGCAACAAAACTTACGTAACGCATACGTTTTTTTTATAGTTTTTCATTTCTCGATGCGTCCTTAATGTGTTGGAATATACCGCGTTTACCCTATGAACAGATCATTTTCACCACATACCTATATTAGGAAACCTCTGCTAAATATTTCAAATTGGGTTTCTTAAAAAGTTCAACTTATAGACTGTAGACATGTGAAAACAGAATTTGTTAATAAATCTTGAAAATTACTAGTATCAATTAAATAAAAAAAAATCCTAGAATTCTTTCTATTATCAAAAGTGATCTGCCTCTACTCACCTCTAGGGACCAAAATGTGGCCATTCCAAGGTTATCTTGTTATCTATTCCCATTCAAAAATGAATTTTCATATTTAAAAGCAAGCAGTTCTGCAAATTAGTGTCAAACAGTTGCTAAAAATCTATAATTGTAACAGTTTAAATCACTTTTTTATTAAATACATACAATTGCAATTAAATAAAATATAATTTTTCACTTGGATAATACAATGGGAATGGGATCAGATAGCATCTAGGTAGCATGTCTATTTTGTGGCGCAAAAGACAGCTGGGCTATATCTTTTTAGCACCTCTAAATTGACATTTGATGCCTTTCAATTTTCATTGCACTTTTTGGCAGCACTAACAAATGCAGTTGAGCACGTAAACAGAAAAAACTTCTTCTAAAACAAGATTGCATGCTTGTGAATTGAGATTCCTGTGTTCGTATCCAAACAAAAGTTGACCAAATTAAGCTGTCAGTTAAGCAAGAAGAGCAGTGCATAAGGCCTTCTGCCTCAAGATGAAATTTTTACTGTTTCAATGTCTTGTATTGCTCTGTATGCTGTTTGTACACATACTTACAACTTGATATTCAATAGAAACCATCTATATCATTAAATCAACAAAACCTCAACTTTTTAGAAAATTCTAAACAACTTCCAAGTTATAACTTTGGAATAAAAATGTAAAAATCTTAGTTATGGCCAGTATAATGCTTTATAGGGCAATTTCTGTTGGATACAAACCAAAATGAGAAATGGGCAAAAGTTGCCCATGAATTTAGACTGGAAATCCTACTAGTACTGAATCTCTAAAGACCTGAACTGAAGTAGTAAAACTAAAGATTCACTTGCAATTATGCAAAAAAGGATCCATATGGATTTGGTAGGAGCCCATGACATTTCATATGGAATTGCTAAATTTTCACAAGTCAGTGGATTTATTTAAAGCATGGAATTGAATATTCTCTCAATTTAGTCAAAAAGGACTTCTTTTGTTGTCTTAATTCAACATCAGGCTTAATCATAAAACCCTGAAACCTTCATAAATCGTTTTACTGTACTATATGCATCCATGCTGCTCTCACAGATGATGTGCAAGCTGCAGTTGCATCCTCCTCTTAATGCAAATGTGTAAGAGGCTACTTTCCTAGCCAACAGAGTTAAGCTCTTGATATATGTACATTTGAATATCATGTACTATTTTTGAAATGTTTCAAAGCAATAAATCTTGAATGGCCTGATGGATGTGGCAGGTATATACGTATATATATTACATTTAACATTTTTTTAGAGTTTATTCCAGTATATCAATGGAAAGATCAGTCATCATTGGATGTAGGTATTGTTATTATTCTCATCAATACTCATTCATTATAAATATGATAAAATTAACAGCCACAATTCTTTCCTGATAAATTTATATATATAATCTGTAAGGCGATGAGTGTCACTTGTCAAGTGCTCAACAAGCTTGCATTAACTACAGTTTACAATAGATCATTTTGTTTTGCAGTTAGTAAAAATCTTGCATTCTTGTTTGCATAGAAATTGACATAATGATTCAGTCATACTGGCTCAATGTGTGCTCTGCACAAGGTTTTTGTTTTCTGCACCAGCGTTAATTGTGCATTTTTTCCAGGAGCAAGAGCTATGCCGACGTGCAGAAGAATTTATGCACAAAGTCTGGGAAGGTGTTCAGTCTTGGAATGTCCAGCCTTTTTCCAAGCTCCCAAGATGGCTGCAGGACAATGATTACCTACACGATTGGCACAGGTGATCCTGTTACCAATGTGCTGCATTTGTTTCTGCAATGATTATATAACGAGTATTTGTTTATATTGTTGGCTTTCAAAACTTGTTTATTTTACACATATTGTTTTAATTTTTGGAAAAAATTTCTTTGGCTTATAGTTTTTATGCTTCAGCCGTTGTACAGGTTGATCCATGGAAAGCTCTTGGTTTGAAAGAGCTCTCAATAAAAAAACTAGTAAAGATGTCACAATATAAATTTTTTTGGAAAAACACTACTAGAATTTTTTATCTCTAAGTTTTAAAGATGACATCAGAAAAAGGATGACCTCCATTTTCAATACATTGTTAGTTTATTTTTTAAGTTTTATTATTTTTAAGTTCTTCTGAAGCATTTTAATGGTTGTGTTAGCAATGGCTTGGCGAATGTTGTTTTCATATGAGGTAGAGTCCTTGGACAGTCATTGTAAACCATTGATTTAAAATACGTAAAACCATAAAATATTAAAATGGAGCCAAATTGGGGCATAGGGCCAGCCAAAGAAGGTCTCTGCAAAATGTTGTCTCAGAAGATCCATTGAACATGGCGCTGTCTTGGCCATGGCTCCATCCTGTGGGAACCAGACATCCCTGACATTCATTTCAGCCAGTTTTGGCAAAAAAGTCAATTGTTTGTGTTTACCAAGCTTCCAAGCTACTGTCACCATTATTGCGCATCCATTTTGCTTAAAGAAATAAGGGCCAATTATGCAAACTTTTGACACGACATCGCATGCCACACAGTTGTGCATTCACAATGAAGTAGTGGGTGCTGATGGAGTTCCTGCAGATTGCTATCACTCCAGTTACTTATTTCTATCAAAATTTCTGTATTCAATGCTTCCTGTAACTTGAAAATGAATGTTGTTACATTCGAAACGTCGTTAATAAAGTGATATTACTCCCTTGAACCTGCATTTTGATCAACTAATGTCATCTGAAGAATATTGTTCGACCCTGAAAATTTAAATTGACGAATTCTCTGGCCATTAACCACCCGTGTTGAAACAAATATATATATGTGTGGATTATTTTTGAGATTGGTAGATGAAAGTAGACATCCATGTAGGGAAGGTGAAACATAAAAATAACTGTAAGCAAACTGAAACTTTAAAAAATACCTGTAATTGGTAACTGGTAACAACTTAACAAGTAACCACTAACATGTTGACACTAGTAACAGGCTGAGGTTGACAACATTACACCACAATCTTTCGTACAGTTTTATTCTGTAATTTATTTTATGTATGTTATTAAATTTTCTCTCTATAACGCTCGTGCTCAAGACCCTTAATGAAAGTGATATTGGGTTATACTATGTATCATGCCGGTTTTTAAATAATATTTAATACTATTAAGTAAAATCTAAAGGCTTTATCTATAAATGTAGCAGTAGCACTGTAGCGGCAAAACCTTGTATCGCTACTTAAAAATGTAATGTAGCGGGCGCTACCGCAGTACCGCTACAATTGCTTAAATGTAGCACCGCTACTGCTACTGAAAATGTAGCGGGCGCGCTACTGCCCAGTACATGTAGCACGCTACTGCCCAGCTCTGGGCGTATGTTGTTTTCATATGAGGTAGAGTCCTTGGACAGTCATTGTAAACAATTGATTTAAAATAAAACCATGATATATTAAAATGGAGCCAAATTGGGGGATAGGGCCAGCCAAAGAAGGTCTCTGCAAAACATTGTCTCAGTAGATCCATTGAACATGGCGCTGTCTTGGCCATGGCTCCATCCTGTTGGAACCAGACATCCCTGACATTAATTTCAGCCAGTTTTGGCAAAAAAAAAGTCAATCATTTGTGTGTACCAAGCTTCCAAGCTATTGTCACCATTATTGCGCATCCATTTTGCTCAAAGAAATAAGGGCCAATTATGCAAACTTTTGACACGACATCGCATGCCACACAGTTGTGCATTCACAATGAAGTAGTGGGTGCTGATGGAGTTCCTGCAGATTGCTATCACTCCAGTTAGGCATGTTATGCTTGTTTACTCTGCCAGAAACGCTTCATTCACACTTCCTTTTGCCCTAAAAGTGTTCACCAACATAACAAAGGATTTCTGATCCAGAACCCAACCTGATGGATGAATAAAGAACCAAGTATGGAATGGTCATAGAGTAGCAATAATGGAATGGTCATTCAAAAGGTACGCCTCAACAGTAAACCCACACTGCTCACTTGTCCAATGCATAGTGGCAACTGACTAGGCAGGATACAAATCTTCTTGACCTTGCCTTTCATACGAAATGCTCTCTGCCCCTTTTCCTACAACATCAGGCTGCTTGGCACAAAATACTAAACAGGAAATTTCCATGAATCACTCTATATCTGAATTTGAATCAAATGCTTATCATTGATGTTCTATGTAATGATGAAACCAATGCCTCATAATATTGATTCACAGTCGACATATGCCCATAGTGAAGTTGGCTGCTTGAGGAGTGTAATGTCCCAAAAACCTGTTTTTTGTATCCACAAATGTCAATGGTTTTTAAAATTAGTATTTCTTCCTGCCAAAATCTAATGGTGATTCTTGTGAATGCCATTTGATTATTTATTATCAATTGAAAAAATTTCATTGGAATAAATAATATAATGATAAATATTATTGAAGATATTGTTAATGATTCTGTTTCTGGCCCTCCCACAGCTGTTTTTTTCCACATCTATGAAACTGGCCCTCCCACACCTATGAAACTTTATTAATTTTGTAAAATTTCATTTCAGACCACCACTGCCTTCCTTTTCTGAATGCTTCAAGTCCATTTTCCGGATCCATACAGAAACTGGCAATATATGGACTCATTTGCTAGGTATGCCTTTCCCTTCAGCCATGCAAGTTACAATTAAAATTAGATTAGTTGCATTACTTATGATGATTCTCTAGCAATAGCATACAGAAGGCCTGGCTTTGATTTTCATTGATTAAGGTATTTTTCACAAGCCATGAAAAATTGAATGAGCTTCGATATTTTTAATACTTTTTATTTTACATTGATGGTAGTTCATTGATTTTGATAATGACAGACCCACATAGTTGAATGCATAAGTACTCATAGCCTAACCATCAGATGGTACTTTCTCATTATGATGTGATGTTTCAGTATTTATCAATCAAGTTAGTTGTTGAATTCTTAGTCAAGTTGGTTGTTGCATTAACTATTGCATTATTTGCTGCGCAGGTTGCGTGGCATTCATCGGCCTCACCGTATACTACATGAGTACACGATCTGATGATCTAGAAACCAAACTGGTCTTCACAACATTCCTTGTGGGAGCCATTCTGTGTCTGGGGCTCTCCACGACCTTCCACACTGTTTCCTGCCATTCAGAATTTGTGGGCAAACTCTTTTGCAAGTGAGTAATCTGAAGAAATATTCCTGGTACTTCATATCTAAGCAATGTATTGTGATTTGGCATTACGGTAAGTATTTATTTCCTTAAGAACATTGCTTTGAGATTACCTGCATTAATTCTCTATTGATGAAACTGCAATTCGTACAGATAAGTGCATTTGTTATTGTTTTGGGGGGCCAAGCTCCAGATAGTGAGAAACTAAATTGAGATCTGTGTAAAACGAACACGACCAACAAAGCCAGTGTTAGGACCTTTAGACTGGCCAGTGCTAGGAAAACCTCAGAAACGCAGGGCAGATTAAAAGGTCTTGGAGGGAGTGAAACGCGTCTCAGTTCCGAGGCAAAATGGTTGGGCAGCAACACTCGTTTAGGATGCTGAACAGCCACTGTGACCTGACTGGAGATGAGTGCCTAGGTACCCTTGAGAGGGAAGGAAGCAGGATCCTGATCATTTTTGCATTTTCGTTGTGTAGGTACTGCAACCGGAGCCCTCACGATGAGCTCTGCTTGTGCCAAAGGGCTTGATCTTCTTACTGTTCATCTCGTCATGTAGTAAGAAATCGTTGAAAGCCTAAATAATTGAGCAATGGAAATTTAGTCAACTTGTGCCTTTATTTACGAATGAGCAAATTATTATCTTAACATTAAAAATTGTATCGTGTTTCAGATTTGACTACTGTGGCATTGCATTTCTGATTATGGGATCATTCGTGCCGTGGCTGTACTACGGATTTTACTGCGATTTCCAGCACAAGCTCATCTATCTTACGAGCGTCTTCGTGCTCGGCGTTAGCACTATTGTTGTATCGCTCTGGGACAAGTTTAGCACGCCCGTGTACCGGCCTCTCAGAACCAGTATGTTGCTTCTTGAGTTATTTTTGTTAGGTTTATTTTTTATGCAGCACATTGCAATGTCTAAATAATTTAGCATCAGCCTCTAGTTAGGCATGAGGAATAGCCTTTGATGATTTATTTTGTAGAACACCCTATTTCTCCAGAGTAATGGTAAGATTCATTGTCACTAGGTACTGAATTAATTCAAAATAAATTCATTTAATCGTACTGTTGCCCATTTCAGCTGTTCGTTCGGAATAAAAGTGGCACCTGTTTGGCATGCCAATACTTTGAGATCTTATTAATGAATCACTAACCTGATCTCTGTTGTCCAGGTGTGTTCCTGGTGTTCGGTCTGTCAGGCATCATCCCTGCAGTGCACTATACTGTGCGTGAGGGCCTGGACGTCGCCCTCTCCCGCGCTGCTCTCGGTCCGCTTGCCCTCATGGGCACCCTGTATGTGCTTGGTGCAGTTTTCTATGCCGTACGAGTGCCAGAAAGATGGTTCCCTGGGAAGTGCGATTTGTGGGTGAGTAAATTTCATCTAAAATCAGTAATTTTCATATTTATTGTTTTTGCTAAATGTCTCTGTAGACTATAAGTATGTTTTGTATCTATTAAAGTAGAAAACATATTATTTTAATATTGATCATTAAATTAATAAACAAAAAATGCCAATGTTTTTAAAGTAAAATAAAAATAAAACAATATTGCTTACTGACTTGTTAAAATATTACGTATGCACTGAATCGCTGTCTTTCTAATTGTATCAATCACCGGGTTGTTATTTGACATAGCTATCTGTTACATGTAATTTTGTCATTTCAGTTCCACAGTCACCAGATCTTCCACACGCTTGTGGTGGCGGCTGCGTTCGTCCACTACCACGGCATATCGCGCATGGCGATGTACCGACACGCTCATGGCCAGTGCACTGAACTGGAGGAAGATGTCGCCAGCAGCGACACTCTTTATACGTCGGACCACATCTGAGACTACAAGCTATTTCGCTCTGTGTTTGAACTTTCACACCAGTGAAAGTAAGGAAGCTTCACTTAGTAATCTGTTGTAGACAACGAGGTCTGTTGGAAGCCAGTAAGATTTGACCAATATGTTTGGTGCTATTCTGTTTCCATTAATGTCGGCTCACCGATGTAGATGTGATGATAACAAGTGACATAGAAAGGATGATTCTGACGCTGCACGCTACGACTCTTTGATGTGCTATTTGATCCGTTGAATAGCATTTATTTATGTATCGTCACACATTTTTGATCAATGATATGGTGGAGGTTCTTTTCTAGTTGCTCAAACGATCATTAAATATGTCTGGGGACTTGAGGCTATTTGTCAACCCATGAAGCGAAGATGCGACGAAGCGTTTTTGAACAAGTAATGAAAATTCAAGGGTTCTTGCTGCTATTTTTCTGCAGTACTGGGGCAAGTTCAATTACGACAGTTATTATTATTATATGTTATTCTACCATCGTTTCAACTTTCCAATTGCAGGCTCTGTTGTCTATGCAAATTTTTTCTATCAGGATACTTTTTTTAGTTCAAGAAAGTACTCTATTCCATGTCTCTATTGTCGTAATACTTCATGTGAAATTATTAAATAGCGCGGTATAATAGCAGCATAGGCGCAAAATCGATTTTTATCTTTCCCACTCCACTGAAATCCTTCGAATGTTTCTGAATTATGTCGCCATAATATGACATTTTTACAGTCACAGCATACTAATAACTAGACATCTGTATTTTGTCTTCTATTTATCTGTTTTTCCTTTTACTCACACTTTCGAAGAGATTTGAACGTTCATATTTTATTTGGGATTTAAAACGTTATGTTGTTTCAAATATCAAAATGTCCTGCACCAAAAGTCTGCAACGTCTCTTCACTTATAGTTAAACGTGTTAGTGGCACGAGACGATTAATTAAAGCAGAAATGTTGACTTGTTTTGAATCGCATTCCGTAGGCTTGTTGAGAACTTTAACCCATTAAAGATCGTAACAGGCCATGTGTTATGCATGTCCGTTCATTGTCCATCGTCGGTATCATCACAATGTTCATTGCTTATTTCATGCCATGTGCATCTAGCGATTATTCTTTGTAGTCCACGTCAAGATGAGAAGTGTATTTTGCAACAGTGTGAGCTCGTTATTTCTAGTTGCATCCGTGAACTAGATAGTGATAGTGAAGTGGGAGTTATAGAGGCATTTTCTCCCTTAAGTAGTAACACTAGTATAGCAAGAGTGTAAATATGAAAAAATTTATTTATCGACTGTTCGTTTTCCATTTCAGAGGTGTATCTTTGCCGTTGAAATCAGCTTATTGTTGGACTTCTCTCTGCTTGTATCAGTGATCAGTCTGTCTAATACTTTGATGTTGCCTATTTTTTCGGTTGATTTTTATTATTCACCGCTGTTCTGAGGGTTTTTGTCTCTTCATCGTATTATAGACCGGTCAGTGTTAGGCTCTCATTGGTCAATTATCGATGCAAACTTCACGGTGCGAATCATCACTGTTTTTATCCTGTTACCCTGGAGGTTCGTTGTAACCCTTGAAAAACTCGCACTTGGTTCTTGAGCCCGCGTTCACCTGATATTTTTAACCTGTGCATCATGGAGTGTAGGTACGAACCCACATCGAATAATTTCCATTTGAGTATTACTTCTTGTGCTTGGTAATCAGAAAAGTTCAGTATTTTAGATGATCTTCTGGATTTTATATGCGCACTGATTGGTCTATTGATACGTATCGGATAATTAAACAGTTTGATTTGTTATTTTTTGTCCTTTCTTGTGACGTTTAGTCAGTGACCTAGTACTTGAAAGATATTTTCGTTTTTCTAGAAGTTTCATGGGACAGGAAATTTTTTTATCATTTTTCATTTGCTATCGTCTTAATGCTGGATTTTTAAGCGTTGAGTGATATTTAGACCCACGTTGCGGACTGCGCTGCTGCCTTATCCTAGATCAATAGAGTAAATAATTCATGTGCCCTTTCTAACTTATTTTTCTTGAGGCTGAACAGGGCTTGTGCACGGATGACCTACAATAGGGTATAATCATTAATAAAACCGCGCATATGTCAATTTTTAATTGTCCTATACGTCTCCCATTATAATTTAGAATGACTGCATTTTATTGAGGATTTCGCTATTCATCGTGACCATAAACGTGTACGATGTTTGCAGTAAAAATGGGTTCTTTATTAAACTCCACGAGAGTAACTTCCCCTTAAATAATAATAATTTCCCTAACACGAGTGTTCATCTCGAGTGAATAACGCGCAATATGTTCGTTCAAATACACCTGTTGGTAATTTACCTGCAAACCCCAGCAGGAGCGCAGCCGTGCACCACCAATTTTGAGCACCTATCAGCCGTGAATAGAACGCCCAGCAAGGTCTTGAGAGCATATGTCTGAATTACGGACCCCACGCCTTCGTCTGTGTCATTTTGAATTGATTGAGAGAAGTAACTGCGGACTGTGAACTGGTGTACAGGGGACATGCAAGCACGTCCCTATCTGCCGGGGTATTAAACCTTTGAAGTAACGTAGTGTGCGCCGAGATTCTGCAAAAAACCGATTGACACGTAATGGAGGCTCCTGAAGCCGACTGATACGTAATGGAGGAAGAATTTGGAGGCAATGGCGACCTGCACAGTGCTGTTCCGATACCAGGCGTTGAGCTGGCGGTGATACTTCTACGTAAACCGCCCTTTCTTCCACTTACCATCTCTCACGGTGCGAAGGCTTTTATTTTAATGTCAGAACTTCAACCACTTTGCGTTGGCTTCGCGTCNTTTCGAGGATTTTGAGATGCCCCCATGTGGTTTGTGCCCCAGGTGAGTGGTTAGTGTCCCAAGTGAGTGGTTAGTGCTTGGTCTTGCTGAGGATGAACAATGTCTTCCTCACTTCCCGCTGACAGCTGAACAGCAACCAGTCCTCTTACAAGATTCACGCTTCAACGTGCGTAGATGAAAATGGTGGGGCTTCAAATATTGAGCAGAGCTGCTTAGATGAACGTGGTGAGGTCAACATACGTTTAAAATTTTTATCTGCTGGACGGATGAGAAAAACACTCATCTTGTGGCTTATTTGAAGTAAGCAATCCAACCGTTTCAGAATTCCTCTTACTTAGTCCAGTTCGGGAACATCGTTTAGAAAAGTATACGTTTAAAAATTACTTTTTGAAGGCAACACTTCTGAAGAATCCAGTGTCTCCAATTTCTTCCTGGAACTCCTGAGACAGAATCTCTGATGGACCCAAAGGTAGGCTAGTACTTGATTAAATAAAAGTTGAATTACGAGTTCCAACGACCAAGTTCGGACCAACATTGCTGTTGAAGTGTTGATTATAGGCTGAGATAGGACTATACCCATAAATGAGATAGAATTGCCTGGGCTTACAGTAAATTTCTTCCATTATTATGGCCTTTGCCTAATTTTTTCATTACAAAATAAAAATGAAGTATTTTTGCTTGCAATATTTCTTTTTATTATTTTCAATAACATTATAGTTTTATCTGCTGCATAATCTGCAATACTTGATAAATTTTGTCATATATATCAGATTGGTTAGTGCCGGCCACAGGCTGTGGCTGACGGCTGTTTCTAACCTAAGAGGAAAATTTGGCAGAAGCCACCTGTGAATTATACAAAAAACTGTAAATCAGGCCAGTTCCACCCATTCCCATCAATTTTTTCCATTATGATTATGCTTCAGTGAAAAATAAGAAAGTATTTTTTCCGGCAGTTTTTGAAAATCACCTAGGGTAAACGCGGTATATTCCGACATCGTAGGTAATTCCGTCACCTCTCCAGCTTTTCCTTTATATTAAGCTTTGTTTTAGTTCCATGCGT